GTGTGGTAGTATCTATATCTGGATAATACATAATTTTAAGTAGTTTCTGATTTATAAGGTGGCCCACAAAAAATTAAACTTGGCTCACTAGAACTGTAGGTCTAGTACTAAACTGACCAGGCTAGATACTTCTTAAAAGTAACTGCATACCTGAGGTAGTTGTTAGCTTAATTTGATCAATTATTTTCTTATAGCATCAAATTCCTCATAGCTATCATCTTTAAAATGTGATTTATTTTTGCAGTCTTCTCAGGTAAGACTATTTTCTCTAAAAACTGAATAATATAGGTCTACAGAATAACAACAGATCTGACCAAAATATTTATGATGATTTGTTTGAAGTTAAGCACAAAGCTACACAATAGGCTATCTGTGCTCTGCCCACCATGGGTATCGAAACCCGGATTCTCGCATTGTAAGTCTGCAGACATACCGCTGTGCCCCTGGGGGGCTATTTATGATGAAGTAATTCTGAATTTTCTGCTCTGACTGAGTTTGTGTAAAAAAAGATATTGGACACATATGTGAAACAGTCAGTGAAAATAATTTTTAATTTAATACCACAAACAACAGTGTGAGCATTTAGCATGACAACTATAACATGGCAACTAGCACTACCCCACATGACTTGTTATTCTCATTAGAAAACAAGGGAGGTTGTAACTTTAAGTTATCACTTGATCTGACTTACCGGTGGAAAGAATTATTGTCCCCACATACATAGTATAGCAACCTTAAAGTAATATTTTCTATGGGAAAACAAGGTGTTACCTTAGGTGAATAACACAGAACAATAGGTAGCTAGAGTGAAGAGAACTTAACAATTTTCTTCTGCAACCTGTTATGTGAAAAATGCACATACACCTAAATAAATGAAAGAATTTTGAAAAATCCTATGTTAAAATAAGGAGGTATAAAATTGATTGGTATGCCTGTATACCACATTTTCACAGAAGTTCAGTTACTGGCATATATTCATGAGATATTTTGACCCTTGGAGACTGTTAAGGTTTATTAGTTCTTAAACTGGTGTGTGTGTGTGTGTAACAGAAAATTGAAGATTTAATGAGTTTTTTTATGTTCAAGAAGTATGACAAATTTAACAATATGTATTTAAAAATGACACATACTATCACAGATAATTGTTCATGAACATATGATTGTCTGAAAGGAGGCTCCCAATTCTGTAATAGCAATAGATAGTTTTCATTTTTGCCTACTATTATGTTAAAAATTGATGCAGTGAATCTACTATCTTTATAATAGCCACATCATATGGGGAACTCTAAATGCCTATGGTTCCATTAAATGAATTGTGGGAATATTCCAATTTTATATGTGCAAAGCATATGTCAAAGAATGACACACCAGCTTTCAATGAATAGATTATCACTCTTAAAAGATCTGGTACTATTACGATAAAATTGATGCAGTGAACCCACTGTCTCTATAATAGCCATTTAGAACATTTTAGGTACTTTGACAGTCTTTAAAATTTATCACACAAAAAAAATCTTATCAACAGATATTATATCCTTCAAAATTACTGACCACTGAATGGCAATGCCTATGAATACTCATTATAAGCCTTTGTGGTAATGATTCCATAATTTTATAAGGGCATCTCCCAACTTCTAGAGTCATGGGCTGAATAGGGCTGGCCAAAACAGCAACTAAAAGGAGTTCCAGATATGTTCAATGGGATTGATGTTTGATTCAGACCATTCTTTACAGACAATAGTCTCTCTTTATAAGATCTTCTCCATGATCTTGGCAGAGTATGAAGTGGCATTATCGTCCATAACAATGTAGTTGCCAAAAATTGCACTAATGTAAATATCTAGTGTATCATCAATGTACTGCACTCGAAAGTCAGTTTTACCATTGTCTTCCCAGACAATGATGAACTCAACATTGTAATAGTCATGTTCAGCTACGTTAATATTGTGATAACACTCTCAAGATCATCTCCACCTTCTGGCACAATGATCTGTGAATCAAAACTGGATTCATCTATGAAGAATAGTGTCATCCAATATTGGATAGTCCAAGCCAGGTGGTCTTAAGTTCAATCTGAATAGTTTTGTTGTGATGCTGGGTTAAAGGGATTGTAGTACAAACGTTACATAACCAGAAACTGACTCCCTTGAGTCTATTATGTACAAGTACGTATGGTAGAATTGGGATGATCAGCTATTAATCATTGTTAGGGTTAGTTGTCTATCTGTTAACCACAACCATACTGTAGGTGCTTAATGACCTGGTACAGACCCACTCTGTAAAGGAATTAAGAAATTTAGAAAAACATAACAGTAAATTACATAAAATAAATAACCACCTCACATTTCACCACAAATATAAACAATATAACAAGGTTAAATTATGTGTGGACACCCAATTATTTCAAAGACTAACTCAGAAACTTAATAAAACATGCTCCAAGATAGAATCAAATATAAACATAAAAATAAATACAAGATACAGAATAACAATAATGATCTATATCACAAGATAGATAATAGAACAAATAACATAGTCTTTATCAAGGTATGCACAGTTATTCAAACTTCACACCTGTACATACACATACTAAAGAAATTCACACAAAGAAACTAATTTCACTCACTGGTTATCAAAATAGGGAGTCTACTTACACAACGACACACCTAAATCATCTATAATAAGCTCAAGTAAATGACTTCAAAAAAAGTGTATACAGGACTAAACTTCACTCTAACAAATAAAATATACCTACCACAGATATAGATACTACCACACAGGAAGGAACTACCGCAGATATAGATACTACCACATAGGAAGAAATTACCATAGATATAGATACTACCACACAGGAAGGAACTACCACAGATATAGATACTACCACACAGGAAGGAACTACCATAGATATAGATACTACCACACAGGAAGGAACTATCGCAATTTTTTAAGCTACAGTGTGTTAATTAACTTTGTTATATAACCATCGTTTACAGCAATTTGTTTTATAATTTTTAATTCAGTTTTATAATCTTCAGATGACAAGGGGCTCGGCATGGCCAGGTGGTTAGGGCGCTCGACTCACAATCTGTGGGTTGCGGGTTCGAAACCCCGTCACACCAAACATGATTGCCATTTCAGCTGTGACGGTCAATCCCACTATTCGTTGGTAAAAGACTTGGCGGTGGTGAAGACTAGCTGCCTTCCCTCTAGTCTTATACTGCTAAATTAGGGATGGCTAGCACAGATAGCCCTTCTGTAGCTTTGCACGAAGTTCAAAACAAACACATAAAATTTATACTTTCCATTTTCTGAACTTGTTGTAGTGTTTTCATTCAGATTTAGTTTTTGTATATTTTCATTGATGCTATTCAAATATTTGGAAGTAAATTTTAAACTTTAAAAATTATGTAACCTGATATAAAGCAAGAAAAGAATAAATATTAAATGTAAACAATAACTTTTCAACAGCATACCAACAAATTAATTCAATGTTTAAAGAAGTGGGTATAAATGTTTAAGGTTAAACATAAATATATATAAATTCCGAAAAGATTCTTTTAAAAACACACACACATTAGAAAAGAAAAACTAGACAAATTTAATATCAATTTAAAATGTATCTATCAATGAACACAAGAAAATGAAAGACATATAGTACAGTTATCTTAGTGCACTGATATTGCAAGCCATGAAGTTATGTGCTCATATAATCACACCAAAAAGTAATTAAAGTTATAATTTTCCTAAATGAAAATGTATTTCCGATAGATACTTCCCTCTTCTCACAAGATTAGCTTTTTCAGTTTTGTGCTGCCCTCTATATGCAAACGTTTTTCAAAAACACATTCTTCAAGCCATCCATCCTCCCTGTGTTGGAATCCAAAGTTCCAACATTTCTCTCATGCAAATCATCATGCATTATCTCTCCACCAATAAGAAAGCATTACTATAACGTAATGCATGTGACTCCCTCTACATGTCACTACAGAACTATCATTTCGAAGTTTGACAGAAGATACAAGCACCTGAAGACTGTGGGGAGGATGGGTGGGAAGAGTGAATGGGCTACTCTTTTACCAACGAATAGTGGGATTGACCATCACATTATAACACCCCCCACGTCTGAAAGGGTGAACATGTTTGGTGTGACGGGGATTCGAACCAGTGACACTCAGATTGCGAGTCGAGCACCCTAACCACCTGGCCATGCCGGGCCAATAATTTTATGAAACCTAAGAACAAATAATGTATGTATTGGGAACTATATTGTACATTCACATCAGTGAACTTACATAATATCTTTTGTGTTGAACAGTTCTAAGCATTAATGCTGCTTACTTTTGTTTAAATAATCATCAGGACAATGAAAGAAATAATAAAATATTTAGATACTACTAATTGAAGTATAATATGATAAGAATCCCTGGTGGTTCTTATATACATGATATTTATAGCACTAATAACTGCTTTTTCTTACCTCTTGAGCTCTCATGCTCTGATGTATTCAACAAAAAATGCATGAAAGCTTATGTCTGAAGGTACTTTTATAAGTGCCTGCAACTAAGTATTTAGCCTAGATGTTCAGTTATGTTAAAGACCATTTGTTTAAATGTATTCAATGGAGCCACATGTTCTGACACAGATGATGTGTATGTATTCTGACACAGATAATGTGTATGTGTTTTGATACAGATAATGCGTACATGTTTTGACACAGATAATGTGTATGTATTCTGACACAGATAATGTGTACGTGTTCTGACACAGATAATGTGTATGTGTTTTGACACAGATAATGTGTATGTATTTTGATACAGATAATGTGTATGTGTTCTGACACAGATAATGTGTATGTATTCTGACACAGATAATGTGTATGTATTCTGACACAGATAATGTGTATGTGTTCTGACACAGATAATGTGTATGTATTCTGACACAGATAATGTGTATGTGTTCTGACACAGATAATGTGTATGTATTCTGACACAGATAATGTGTATGTGTTCTGACACAGATAATGTGTATGTATTTTGACACAGATGTAAGTGCTTTTTAAAAGTTAAAAAGTGTAGTTAAAAGGGCATATACTTAACGTTTTCACTGCCATGGGCGCATGCACGTTCTCCTCTAGAGCACTTGCCATAGGAGTTTGAAAATTTGTAACACCATGAAGAAAGGTTATTTCACCTCAAACACCTGAGGATCTTAAGAGTGAGGGCTTATAATGCTAAAAATTGAGTTTTGATGTCTTCAGTGGGCAGAGCACAGATAGCCCATTGTGAAGCTTTATGCTTTATCCTAATCTTTAGGAGTAAATCCACAAACCATTGCATAATACTATAGTGATATATCATTTGTTGTATAAGAAACTCTTTCCTATCTGCTATAAAAATTTTAACTGTTCTTACTGGTTCAAGAAGAGTAGATATTTTCAAACATTTTTCTTTGATGACTTGCAGTATTGGTTCTTGAAGTTTTTCTTTTAATGTTTCGTACATCTCACTTGCTGACAGGTCTTCTAGAAAATCCCTAGCCCTAGATTATTTAATAGACATAACCATGAATTATAACGCACATAAAATAAACGTTGTAGTATTTATATTCCATATGAGAATAAATAAAAACTCCCTGAATTTCAGCATTCTTTTTTCTTTTTGACATGGAAGTTAATAATATAAGTATAAAAACCTTCTAAGTGATAAAAATAATACTGTACACTGGTAAGCATATCTTTATGGTGTATAAATAAAAAACAAAACTGTTATTATTCTATCATTCCATGGCTATTGATAATAAAGCACTAAAAAAAACAAAACACAATGTGTACGTGTTCTGACACGGATAATGTGTACATGTTCTGACACAGATGTGTATGTATTCTGACACAGATAATGTGTATGTATTCTGACACAGATAATGTGTATGTGTTCTGACACAGATAATGTGTATGTATTTTGACACAGATAATGTGTATGTGTTTTGACACAGATAATGTGTACATCTTTTGATACAGATAATGTGCATGTGTTCTGACACACATGTGTATGTATTGTGACACAGATAATGTGTATGTGTTCTGACACAGATAATGTGTACGTGTTTTGACACAGATGTGTGTATGTGTTCTGACACAGATAATGTGTACGTGTTTTGATACAGATAATGTGTACGTGTTTTGACACAGATAATGTGTATGTGTTCTGACACAGATGTTCTGACACAGATAATGTGTATGTGTTCTGACACAGATAATGTGTACGTGTTCTGACACAGATATGTGCATTCTGACAGATAATGTGTACGTGTTTTGACACAGATAATGTGTATGATACACATTATCTGTGTCAGAACATGTACATATCTGTGTCAGAACACGTACACATTATCTGTGTCAGAACACGTACACACTATCTGTGTCAGAACACATACACATTATTTGTGTCAGAACACATATACATTATTTGTGTCAGAATACGTACAAACTATCTGTGTCAGAACACATACACATTATCTGTGTCAAAACACGTACACATTATCTGTGTCAGAACACGTACAAACTATCTGTGTCAGAACACATACACATTATCTGTGTCAAAACACGTA